CTTTCTTTATGCTGATTACTTTCTTTATCTTTACTAATGACCATACTTCTTCAGCTGGTTTCGCAAGGACTGCATGAAACCTGATTTTCATATGAGTTCCTTCATCCTTCTCTTTGAATTTGCTTTCGGCTTTGAACTGGGGCATGATGAACATCATCTCATTGATTGGAAAGTCCAATTGGCTTGCATCAGTATTCGTGACAATGTAGCTCTGTTTTGGATTCTTTTCGAATGAATAGATATGATTGAATGCAACCTTGGGTTCAATTGTTTCATAGTTGTAATGCTTTGATAGATCACCTTTGTTCATGCCCGGAGGATCACTTGCTCTTTGAGTCATTATACTCTGTACTAATCTCATCCTCTCCAGTTCAGCCTCAACCTCAACCTTCTTTTCTTCCTTTGACTTTTCTATCAAAATAGATTTTCCTCTTGCCTTCGAAGCCGAGTCTTCTATTTTACTTCTTTCACCTTTGAATCACTCCCACCAATATCAGCAGATTTACCAATCACAATTCCTTTTGAATTTGGTCTTGTAATTGGCACAGTTGTTACTAATGTCGAAGAAATTGGACCAGCAGATGCTATAATTGGTTTTGTAGTTGGAATCTTCAAAGGAAACACTTTCCTACCACCTTCGCATCATCACCTCCAGCATTCGAAACTTCACCCTTTCTTTCTCCCCCTTGCACCCCTGTAAAAACAGGCGGGGCATTTGTTGTTGGAAGAAGGATGGATATGCGAGAAAGAGGAGCCAACTGTTGGAGAAGTAGTGCTTCGAATTGAGAAAATTTCTGGAAGAGATCATCCGAAGATAGTTGAGAAGACGAAGTTGGTTTTGAAGATAAGGATTTGAGCTCTTTTAACAATGTGAGGACTTCCATAAAATTTTTGTTTTCAGTTGCAAAAGTTGAGCTATTTGAGGACTCAAACTTTCACACAACTTATCAAACTTTGTCACAACATCACAAATTATGTCCACCTTCTGATTTAGAGATGCAAATTCTGTGCGAACACATGCAATCTCTTTTTCCATGTCTTGGCGAAGCTCTTGAAGTTTAAAATTAACATCCTCTCGCACCTTCTTAACATCTTGAATGAACAATAGATGACGTTCCTTTGTTACCATTCTCAACTCTTTCAAATCACCTTCAAATGTAGACTTCTGAGAATTCACCCTTATCTCATTCTTATGATCACAAATATCAACTTTCTATAAAAGACGAGACTCAGAGTCTTTGATCATGCCCGAAACTTTTGAGGTGATCCTTCCTTCTAGCAGTTTTAACAAACCATCCACTTCTAAACTTGTCACTGAATTACCTCCCCCAAGATTTGCTTGTGATTGAAGAATTGAATTCAACTTTGTATTCAAGATCTTGAACTGCTTCATTGTCATAAACATGTGATCTGGGAAATCAGCTTCTTTTTCATCAAATTCCAAGTTCTCAAAAGTTCCTCCAAAACCTTCAGATTCATGCTCAGCTTCCATAAAAATAGACTCTTGAATTGGTGAATTAGTTGTGGGTGGATCAGTGGATTGAGAAGAAAAAAGAGAAGTAATTGGTTGTTGGATAATGTTTTCGAAAGTAGGAGAATCAGTGGTGGAAGTAGTGGGTATGACATGTGTGATTTGTGGAGGAAAAGAAACAAAAGTTTCTGATGTAACAGTCGAAGGTTTACCTTGGTTTTCTTTCTTCGAATCATCCTCACCCATGATGACATTTGCATCCGTATTAGATACGTTTACAAGAATGTCAGAAGTTCGGGCCTCCTCAGATAATGACTTGGCAACCGAATCTTTGGGTGGTATAACAGCTGTCTGTGCAAGAGCAGAAGTTTCTTTGTTAAGATTAGCTTCTGGAGTTTCTGGAATTGTTTCATCTTCATCAACTGTAGACTCAGAAGAGATGATCATTTTGCCTTTCTTCTTCTTCTTCTTGGAAATGTGTTTAGCCATATCAGTAGCCCTTAGTTTCTTTGATGATGGTGAAGTAGGCATTGGAATTTCACAAAATAGAAGTCCTTGATGAGTAACATGTGGCTTTCGGACGACATTCGTGAGTGGAGATCAGTTCTTGCGCTTGGATTTCATTTTGATTCTTCGAAAAACACCGGTCTTTGAAGGAATATTTTTTTTTGAATTAATGGTGTATCAGCAACTAAAACTTCGTGTATTATTGGGTCTGCTTCAGTAACTGGTAACTTCTTTGGAACCTTCATAGATTTACACTCCTTGATTTGTTTCTCAGAAGAACCAACGTCAGTCTTCTTTGTACGTTTTGACTTCATCTCTTCTCTTGCCAAAAGAATTCCAGTCTCAACAATTGTATCAATTGTTTACAAATAAGTCACTAGAACTGTATTCGTTGGATCGACTCGTTTGAGCAGTGCATCTAGAATACGAGCTACAACGGGAAAATCGTCAGCATCATCAGTTGCATCCTTCGGACAACTATACACATGAAAAACAACTTTTTCTTCATCATTAGGAACCATAATCCCCTCCTTCTCATAGAAATAATGCAAGATCAAACTCCAGTATCTCGCACACGAAATGCCATGAAGAGCATTCGTGTTTTCGATGCTCTTCAAAAATTCTTTCCACAATTGAGTAGAGTAATCCACTTGAAGATCATAATAAAGCCCTGCTACCATGGCATAAACCTCTATTCTCCCCTTGTCCAAACCAACTGTTCTTCCAGTCAAACACCTCAAGAAAATACCAAAAAATAAATTCAAAACACTAGGAAGACCAGACTTCTTGAAATCACTTATATTTGATAGTTGAGGTTGATGACCCATTTCTTTAAACATATGTACAATTTGTGGAAAGGTAAAATTAACATATGGTGGGGAATTAGGGATGTACAGAATCTGACAGAAAAGTTTCTTGGATAGTCTGACCTTTTTATCAATCGCCAAATTGAAAGTAACTACATCCAAAGCTTTTGAATATGTAGCAGTTGATCCGGCTTGAGAGAGCCATGAAAGTGGAACAGAAAACAAGTTGAACATAGCTTTTGACAGAACAGAACTCTGTAAAGAAACGATTAGCATCTTCAGTTCTTCAGGGTATTGAGAAACATTTTCCTCCACTTGATAATTCGTACCCTGAATCTTCATAATCGGCAAAGAAGTAACATCATCAGTGGTGTGAGAAAGAGTTGCATCAGGATTAGCAGCAGTTGCCATTTTTAGGGTTTGAAAGCTTGATGTTTATCAGAGAGTATTTGGGAATTATTGAGTTTGAAAGCGTAAAATGATAATGAACCCTTGAATCCCCTTTTATACGTAACCCTTGATTTTGAAATAAAAGCGGGATGTTCATTTAATGAAATTTGACGTGTCACCGGGAAAACCGTGTCATGATGATGATAAAGTAACAATGTATGATAAAGTAACTGTTACTTCGCCTCAAAACCCGGAAAGAATACAAAACTTCTCCTCAAACAGGCTGGTTTGGTTGCCCCAATGGAATAGTAACCGTCGGAACACTTCGTATGGAAGTAAGGCTCTTTTACTTTAGGGTTTCAAAGTAAAGTCATTTGCCAGATTTTTGAAATCATCAGGCTGAGTTGGTATTACTCAAAATCTCAAGGATTTCGTGTGTGTAGTGTTTCAAAGAATGTAGATGAGAAGCAATAAAAAAATTTGGATATTCAGTGATGTCAAAAATTCAATTTGACACGAAGGCAGTTAAAATCCCGGGTGAAGATTGCTTCGTTGATTATCAAGAGAGATAATCAACATCTTGTGTATGTTCCCGTGAATTACAATCAAATACTTGTAAAGAAGTATCGAATGGCTTCTTTTAAAAGGATTTTGAGGTGGCTTAATGAATTTCGTTACACATCAACCTAAACATAAGGTGAGTAAGTGTAACAAAAATTACTTGTTTGACCAGTGTAGTCAGTGACAAGTTTGCTTTGGAAAACTTTTAATTGACATTGAATTTCGGATAAAACTCACACTGAAATCATATTCAAGAAAAAATTGTGTACTGGATCCTGTTGGGTAACAAACATCGTGGGTTTCAAATGTTTGATCAAGACCACTCATAAGAAATGAATATGATTTGGAGTTTCGAATGTAGGTACAGAAACAAATTTTTCTTCAAAACCTGGAACATAGTTCCCCGTCAATTCCTTAAATGTTGAGAGATTTGTGTTTCACATTCATCACGGTCTCATGATGTCTGATCATAAACACGGATTTGTGATATGTCTAGGTTTCGATTGGTTTGATCAGATACCTCTTGTACATATGTCTTCGTGTGTGATTGTGTAAGAATTTCGAGATGAAAAAGATTGGTATAAAAATCAACATGTACCTCTGTTATTTTTGGACCAAACATTAAACTCTTAACTCATGTGAAAAGAGTCAGGTAGCTCATAAGACTAATATGAATACAAGCCTGATTGGGAAGAAATCTTCGTTTGAAAATTTTCATTAAGGCTTTTGAACAACACATTGAGTCAATTAGAGGCTTTGGTCAACATGTTGCAATATGCTTCTTGGGACATCTTAACTAGTTAAAAGCATGTGAAAAATACCTGACCCTAGAACTGCAAACACTACACCAGGTGATTAAGCATGAAAATCTGCAACAATCAACGAAAAAGAAAGAAGAAACAAAATATTTTTGTTGTTTTTGAATTTTTGAAAAACAAAAAAAATATTTTTTTGGAATTTTTGATATTTCTAAAATAAAAAAAATGTAGTTGTTACAAACATATGAAATTTAGACACCCATTTAAAAATGACTAATATACGAATTCGAAGGATTCGAAGAGTTGTCTATGAACAGTAACCTTTGAATATTGAATGACATTCCTTTTTCTTTGATGATGTGTCTATGAACCATTCCTTTTTAACCATCATTCTTCTTTTTCACATGGAATAGAATTTCCATCGATCATTCCAAGTCCTTCCAAAACTCTTACAAAAGACTTTTCATCTAAAGGTTTTGTGAAAATATCAACTAATTGATTTGTTGTTTTCACAAAATGCACTTCAATATTTCCATCTTCCACATGATCCTTGATGAAATGATAACGAAGAGCAATATGTTTAGTCTTTCAATGCTGCACAAGATTATGACAAATTCTTAAGACACTCTGAGAATCACAATATAATGGAATCTTTTTCATATTAATTGCATAACCCCGCAATTGGCTTTGAATCCAAATGATTTGTGAAGTATAGGCAGAAACAACCACATATTCAGCTTCAGCAGTTGAAATTGATACACATGTTTGCTTCTTCGACTGCCACCTCACTAATTTTCCATTAAGCAATTGACAACCACCACTTGTGCATTTCCTATCAAGAATACAACCTCCCAAGTCTGCATTCGAATAAGCTTGAACAAAGAACCCAATTTTCGAAGGATACCACAATCCTAACGAAATTGCTCCTTTAAGATAACGAAATATATTTTTCACAGCAGTGAGATGTGGTTCTCGTGGATTTGACTGATACCTAGCACAATTACACACAGAAAACATTATGTCAGGTCTACTAGTAGTAAGATAAAGTAATTAACCTATCATGCTATTGTAAAGAGTTAGATCAACTGCAGGTTTCTCTAACGAAGGTGTCAACTTTATGCCAGTTGCCATCGGAACTCGTAATTTTGTGCTATTTGTCAATCCAAATTTCTCTAGCAAATTCTTCGTATATTTTTCTTGATTGATAAAAATACCTTCTCTGTTTTGATGAATATTAAACCCAAGAATGAATTTTAGAACTGAAAGCCCAAGTTCGAACTTGTGTCTTGATCCTATCAATTAACTCAACATCATTATCTAAAGATATTGAAATGTAATTTTTCGATAGTTTTGGATTTTCACTAGATTGCACCTTAGGTTTCTCAACTTTTGTTACTTTGTTGATTGGTTTCCATCTCTGAATTGGAGTATTCGAATCTTGAGAAGATAAACTACTAGTTGTGGACTCATTCAAATACTTTTCATAGGCTGTTTTGATTTGACCTTGAGAAAATTTTCTAGACTGAAACCTTTTTCCTTGTCCCTCAAGCTAATGATCAACTGAATGAACTTCTAATTTTCCTTTTGTGCTTGAAACCTTTGTTGGTATTATGATTGGAGGATTTGGAAAATTAGGCTTTTGTGGTGTAAATTTTATGGATGTTTTGAAAGCTTTGTGTGAAGTTGGTTGACTATTCGTTGATTTTTGAACATTGTTAAGTTTTTGAGCATTCACAACCTTTTGTGATGTCTCATACTTTCGAATGTTATCAAAATTTTGAACATATGCAACCTTTTTATTAATTGGAAAGGTGTCTATTACATTCATTGGTTGATGAAAAGATGTGTTTTGTGGTTTATCTGTGACTAATGGCTTTTGAAAATTCTTTGATTTTGAAATATATATTGAGTTGGATTTTGAACACTGTTTTTCTCATTTGAAACTTTGGATTTGGTTAAAGAAAGTTTTTCCTTAGACACAACTTGCCAAAAAATTACCTTTCGTGCCTTTGTCTTTGAAACTTTATGATCTTTTGAAAACTTATCAACAAGCACTTTGAATTCATTTGAATTAAGTTTCACAATTGGAATTGAATTACGAACTTCTTTTGTAACAACTTCATTTTACTTTTCAGATTTAACAACCCATTTTTTTTGGTTTCTGTTGTTGAAAAACATACGAATTTTTGGTGAGGTTGTTTTCAACGATGTTCTGATTCGCAAAGAATCCTTCGTCTGTTGAATGCTTATTGTCCTCTTCGACCAATTTGTTGAATTCTGGCTTTATTTTCTCTGTATTTCCAGTGGCGACGAAGAATTGATTTGGAAACACAACATTATCAGTACATGTAAAATTTGGATATACAACTGTGTTAGTTTCTAGAAAATGTGCTCCTTTATCATTCATCACTTTGTCAAACTTCTCAGTGTCATACACTTTTTCAACAATAGCTCTTGGAATTAAAGTTTCACTTAAAACTTTCTTTTTTGCCTTACAAACATTCAAAAC